AGGCTAAGACAACTAGCCTGACAATGGTAAAATTTGTTTTTTGGAAGTTTGCTTTTAGAAGCAATTATCACAAAGACATCACGGTACCGCAGTGAACGGGTTTTTTCGAGCATCTTAAAAAAGCATATTTTTTATAGCTTTCACCACAATAGACAGTGATCCAATGATGTCAAACTGTAGCTCAATCTTCGATATTAATACTGTTATATCCAGTTTTTTCAATGATAAAGTATTGTTCGAAACATGACGGAAGACTTTTTTCCACCGTTTTTGAATAAAAAATACTTGATTTTCGCTGGGAACTACAATTTATTGGCGTCATTATTCAAAATAAATTCCATATACAGGCTGTCCCATAAATAACACCCCGATAAGGAAATTAAATATCTCCGCCAGATGTCGACCAACCGATCTGAAATTTTTACCAATGATAGAGGCATATTCAAAGTTTATATCCATAAAGACATGGCTAGAGAGCCCATTTGTTAAGTATCACTAGTGACTGCAACACAAAAATTTTATTTTTTCATAGATAGAAAAAAAAAATATACTCAGTGGCGCAAAAGTCACTTTGCCGAACAAAAAATTGAATATCTCCATTACGGCTGGAGCAAATCAGCTGATTTTTTTAACAATGATAGAAACACGTTGAAGCTTTATAATCATAAAGACATGCCTAGAAAAACTCTTTGTTAAGTATATTGTTCTTGTCCTATCTGTGAAAAAGTAAAATTTTTGTGTTGAGGTCAATAGTGATACTTAGCAAAGGGTTTCTCTATGCATGTCTTCATCGATATAAACTTTGAATATGCCTCTATCACTGGTAAAAATTTCAGATCGATTGGTCGACATCTGGTGGAGATATTTCAATTTCTTATCGGGGTGTTATTTATGGGACATCCTGTATAGATAGAGAAGATACGAAAAGCTCTAAAAATTTTTTGAATGAATAAAGTTCAGTCGCCTTATACTGAAGATATCTTCTGCTCAAATTTTTACAACCAGGTCTAGTTTTAGATGGACAGGCTGACTTGTAATTGGACGCAGTTTTCCACTCGCGTTCCGAATATACACTTTGCTCGAGAATATGACTTCGATGATGGGCGAGAAAACCATGGAAAAGAGCGAAAAGAAGTGAAAATCTCGCTTTTAGAGCTCGTGACAGCTTGGACGGAATCTCCAAATACTAAGCCAGAAACGTTTTCGAATCGTGTCAGATTGTAAAAACAGAACACTTGCTTTATCAAGCTAAAGTGTACAACTCACAATATCGAGACCCGGTCATCTTCAACATGCAAAAATTTCTCAGAGAACCCTGTGAAACTTTCGAAAATTCATAAACAGATACTTTTCTACGACGGATTTTCTTCCCCAGTCGGCTTTCTCCAACGGCAAAAATCGCATGCCGCTAGCTAAGTGTGCACCGCTAATATTCACGCCACACTAACACTGCTTTTTAATATTAAATGAATATTCCGATATAGACTATAATCAGTACTTTACTAAACTACAATCCAGAACTCTGCATTCGCAAGAAATATGGACCACAATAGGTTACGTTTTCTCTATATTTGAAAATGAGGTAACAGTCTGCATGACCTATTTACTAATAGAAATTCATTGAATCGATGGTTATTATATTCTTAAATATACGCTTGATATATGTATTTAGAACACTGAAATTGATGGATAATTATTATACTATGATGGAAAACGACATACCCGAAAACCAGCTAATTTTGCTATTTTTGCATTTTTCGCATGATCTCATATCGGATTAATCCGTAATTACGAATATGAATGAGCTTATATAATGATGTGCCTAGTCTACTCGCTTACTACTTTACACAAATATATAAATTTTCGATTACGGCTTATAGTTATAGATAATAGTCGATACCACAAAATGATGGAAATGATGGAAATGGGCACTGTGGGCCAAATGATGGCCTTTTGCGATCTGAAGGAATCATGATGCCAGTTAAAAATCCGTAGGACTTTTTCATCAAATTTGTTACAGTTTTCAGATCTTCGATTGCTGAAAATTTCAGCTTGACTGCTAAAGGTCAGCATAAATGTGGGAGAATTCCGGTGGACCTACCATAGAATCCAATAAATTTAAAAGATTCGAAAATAAAGGATCTATCATTTTACTACAAATTATACAGCTAATGTTCTGGTTCCCGGGTAACACGAATTTTTGTGCTCATTCAGATGCTCCCACGAAGGTTGCTCCCGGTTCAGTTGCTTGCCAATTGCCCTTTAAAGGATATCTTATTGATTGCAAGTGAAAATGAGCGTTAGTATCGGTATGAATATGTGTAGGACTCAGGATGTGGCTACGAGCGCAGCAATGAGTGAGAGTATCAGTATATGGATTCAAGTCTTTGTGTCACCCACATCGGCGCTCTGTTGCTCTTGAAATCAATACGAGTTCTGGTGTGTAAGATAGCGAAGCAACTGCCTAGGAAGCCGTTATCGTAGAGGTGCAACCTTCGCTAAAGATGATTTGTGCTCGCAGTAACTGTCGCGCGAACAGCTTTCAAGGGATTCGATTCATCTTATTTTATAATCTACATTCTAGACCCCTTTCTACCTATTTTATGCCGCATTGTCTGGTTTTCGTGAAAATTCTTCTTTTTGAAAAATAGTGTGGAATTTTTGTTAACGAATTATTCATATTGTTTCACCTAGCTTGTGTGTTCATGCTCATTCAGAAAAGTCACATTATTTGATAAAATGGAATAAAATAATAAAATCTTGCTTTTAATTTGTGTTTCAGATTTTGATATATCGATAAAGTACAATAAAGAAGAAACATACTGTCCGACTTCATTATAAACAGATAATGAGGTGGAAACAGCAAAGACTTGAAAATGCTATTTGTCTTCCGCTTTCTTTTTCCTCGGTTTCATCATCAACTTAATCTGTATGTTGGAGAAGGTATGTATTCCACTTCATATGACTATCCTCGTCATTTTGTTTATTCTCTTATAATCTTTCCCTCTATGCATATATGAACAAATAAAACTTAGAATGATGAATATTAAAAACATATTCGTCAAGAAGCTGCCTTTTGCTATGGAAATGTCACAAAGCTTCGATACAATTGAAAAGAAAAAGTTCGCTTTTATTTTGAATGATCATTTTTCTAAACGAGTGGCTAGGAACGAAAGCATTTGGCAACACCTTGATTTAGATTTCAAAAAGTGAAATTGAAGAATATATTAAGGAAGAAACGAAACCTATAAGATTTGGAAACGCACTTTGGTTTTGAGTTCCAGCTTTCTGATGTTCAATCTGGCTTTTGTATGATAGGCAAACATGTGAATTTTCGAAACTTTTTCAGATGGAAGAGAAGAAGATCAAAGTAGTATCGTAATGTTTTGGAAAGAACGAAAAACAAGACATTACTGCGTGGTGAAACATTTTGAAATAAAGTATCTCTGTCATTAGTTAGATGAATATTTCAATTGGAACGTCGTCGCAACGAAAATTCAAGAGTGACACCTGATGCATTGGTTAAAAATCAAAACTGTATTGAAATGATCATCTGAAAATGCAATATTTATCTATACTTTTTTCGCAATTTTGAACCTTACGTCTACTCTTGCTCAAAGCCTTAAGAAATTTTCATTGAAAGAGATGCCACGGACAATATATCGACATGATTGGGAGTTTCGTGTAGATATGATAGCCGAAGTCTCCCAAGAATGCAATCTTGAAAATATGTCATGCTGTTTGTAACGCGACTGGAATAGAACTGACAAAAGACGATTTCCAGGCGTCTATACGTTTTGAGATGTGAAAGTAGCACGTTTTTTGTCCCTTTAATTTTTCAATCTTACTTATGGATGTGAATGTGAGTTGTGACTGACCGTGGGTGAGTCTGGGTCTCGGTATGATTGTGGGTATGCTTTATAAGACGAATCACATCCACACCTTTCTTATTTAACATTTGTCAGGAAAATGGGTTCCATACAACCACACCCACGTTCTGTATGCATAAGTACATCCCACTATACTCACATCCACATTCGAACAGTTTCAATGGTTCAAAAGCTAATGCGAGAAAACATATGGCACAGTTGAATTCTGCTTATCGTTTATATTAGGCGAATATTGTATCAAGTATATATAGATCATTGAATATTCTCGAAACATTCGACAGAAATGTATTTAATATCGTTTTTAGTCATCATTCACTTCTATGGGTTCATTTAGAGCATCGATAGTGGGATCGACAGCACCAATGAGTGCTTTTATAACATAATCGCCGAGTGAGAATGGGTAATCACATCCGCGATACTGACGAATAGTAGCTCTTTCTGTTCGAAAATCATCTGTTACATCGACATTCTTCATTGTTCGATCCCATTTAGCAAAATACTCGACGCACCCTGGTTCATCAGTACAAATCAGGAACATCACGTGAGTCGTCTCTGGATTACGTTCATTGTACATGACATTTTCAAATTCAGGCAAATCCGGATTACCTTCCTCGTCAGTGGGTTCGCCATCAGTAGCAATAAAGAGCAATAACTTTTTATCGTTGCCACGCTTAGCTGCTGGCAATCGAATTATGTATCGTAAAGCGGCCGCCAGTGGAGTATAACCACTAGGAGCACTAACGAATGCTTTGTCCACGTCTCGAGCATTTTTGATTCGAAGAGAAGCCGGTCGATTAAGAAAGAAGAGGTCAACACCGTTTGAGTCAAAGATAGTACCGACTTCGAGCACGATTTTCGTGATTTTACAAAGTTCATTCCATCGAGTATTCTTACCATCGCCGACGGATGTTGCCATCGAGCCGGAATCATCGCAGAGAATTACAATCTCGTAATCTTTGAGCACATGAAGACTCTCAGCGAGTCCTTTCTTTATTTCATACTTTTGAGCCAATTCTTGAAGCTGATCTTTAACTATCAAACGATAACACGCAATCGTCTGTTAAAGACTTTTTTGAAGTATTGATCAAAGATCAAAATAAAACTAATATACATGTGTAGAATAAACATCGATTTTGTACTGGTGGAAAAGAGAAACTTTATTTTTCGTCAGAAGCAAAACATTTGTCAATAACCAATGAAGGAGTATGAAGAAAATCCTGAGAGCATCATCATTTTTTGCCTTTAGACATGTAATGATGCAACTGGTTGGCCGTAGAAATGTCAAAGGAAAAAATGTAGAAAAAACGAACTAGAAAAAAGTCGAAGAGGGAAAATATCGAAAAGTAAAAATGTCAAAAAAAATATCTACATGAAATATATTTGATGAATGTTTTAAAGAATTGTGACTAGGGAAGGACATGCTTTGCTATATGAAACAATGTTAAAGTTCTACCATAGATCAAATACAAGCAAAGAGAAAAAAATAATAATATGTCATTTTCTCGTTTAGCAACTGAAAATGACAAACCATATAAGTATTCCATAGCTCATTAATAACACGATCATAATATCGTTCCTCAAGATTGTCTATACGACGTTGAATAGCAATTGTTTTCGCTTCCTTTGGTCTTGCTCCTAAGCTTGTACTAACGAGGGAAGGTCACCAACTGTTCAATCGCTTTCGTGTTGAAACTATCTGCATTATATAGCTCCAAAGCAGTTATGTACACACTGAAAAATTTTGGGCAGCTAGCTTATTGTTGCGAAAATATTCCATTTGAAAGGTGTGGTTTTTAATGTGTTCTGTGGTGTACCCTCAGGAACATCAGAAAAATTGATTTTCGAATTTCGACTTGAAACTTTACATAGAAATAGGCCTCAACGGGGATAATATTCTGTGACAATTTCAGATCTCTTGATTTGTTCGTTTCATCAAATTTCCTAGTCTGTTTGAACGATATAAAATACATATTTTCACAATAGTTGCGTCTGGAAATAGGACAATAGCAAGATCTGAAACATCCAAAAACAGCTGTTCTCATCGGTATCCGTTCCTATATAAAGTTTCAAGTCGAAATTCGAAGATCAACTTTTCTGATGTTCCTGACATTGCCACAGAATTCATTAAAAGCCATACCTTATAAATGGAATACTTTCGTAACAATAAGGTAGCTGCCCAAAATTTTTTCAGAGTATTCATAACTCCTTTGGAGCTACATAATGCAAATAGGTTCAACGCAAAAGCGATTGAACAGTTGGTGACCTTCCCTCGTAAGTTGAACACGCATATGATGAAAACGATTTTCTGCCCCTTGTATAAAGGATGATGACGGATAAGGCCGTTTTTTCGCCCCTAATAAAATTGACTTTTTTTATTGATTTGCAGTAAGGTATGGTACCTGATAATATTCCATAGATTTATTTTTGTACAACTGACCAAAAGGTTTTTGGAACCCATGGTCGCCCACGGAAATCTCTGAAAAGCGTTTTTTCTTTGATTCCATTGAAATGTATATTTATTGGTTGAGTCAAGTGTGCTGATTACGAATATCCGTATATTAAGTATTCAAAGCCTTTCAATAGCGAAAAAAGTCAATCCTTTTTCCGGTACCCATTCGACTTTATGTCCAGCTTCTTACCTCTGTATATCTTATCCATCCATTACTTTAACCGCATGAAAAAGCTTTCTAGTGAGTAAAACAACGCATTCTACTTACATTTGAAATATAAAATCTCCTTAAAAGCATAGTCGGCTATAAAAACTAGGATTACCGACTTCAAACCTGCTTTTCTCTGCCTCCTTCGAAAAATGAGAGGTTCGAAGTCTCCTGATAGCAGATGTCAAACAAAGTAAAATTTCAGCTGAAAATGTAATTTGGAATGCTCTAGCTGACGATAAACTCAAAAACTCCAATAAAACAGTGTCGTGTTCAACATATCAAATTACCTATCTCAAAGTTGTTTAAGAAATCAAATCTAACTGATATACCGGATCGGGACACACATTTCTGTAATTGGCTATACAGAAAATCTAACCCAATCGAAACAATGAAGAAGTTAAAAGAATAGTTATATATGAAAGCTAATATAAAATGTTAAAATTTTGAGGTAGGGAATTTGATACGCTGAACACGATGGTGACGTCAGTTTGGGTTGAAACCCTTGGAATCTTCAAAAGGTTTTCCAAGAAACACTCAAAAACCTTGACGCACTGTTTTATTGAACTTGTTGAGTCTACTCTCAGAGAGAACATTCAAAATTACGTTTTCAGCTGAAATTTTATTTTGTTGGACGTCTCCTATCAGAAGACTTCGAACCTGTCATTTTTTGTAGTAGATAGAGAAAAGTAGCTTTCCTGTAGGTAATCTGAGTTGTTATAGCAGATAATGTTTTGAAGAAGATTTTATACTTCATAGTCAAATAGACTACGTTGTTTAACTTATCAAGAACATTTTCTTATGAGGTTAAAATAATCAATGGAGAAGATACAGAGGCAAAAAACTGGGTATAAAGACTAATGGGCGCTGGAAAAAGGAGTGGGTTTTTCCTTTAGTAAAAGGCTTTGAACACTTAATACACTGATATTCGTAATCAGCGCACTTGACTCCCCCAACAAATACACATTTCAAGTGAATTAATGACAAAAAGTTTTCCAGAGATCCCCTGGAGGACTACGGGTTCCAAAAAACCTTTTAGTCAACTGTACAAAAATAAACCTATGGAATATGATCAAAGACCATGTCTTACTTCAAATCGGTAAAAAAAAGTCAATTTTGTTAGGAGCGAAAAAATGGCCTTATCCGCCATCATCCTTTTATCAATGACCAAATTATAAGCGAAATTACAGGAAATTTCGATTCAGTCAAATTTATTGAATATGGAGCATCTAAAGACATGACAATAGAAGTCTAGTTGTATACTAGTTCTTCGTCCAGCTTTTTTAGTTAATTTATATCAGGTATTATTCATCACCGTTACCACTGATTAAAAGTCTAGACTAATAGAATTATAAGAAAAGCAACAGTGAACTATAAGTGATTGTTGTCACCATTTACTGGAGATATTCAATTTTCCCAATATTTTCCTCTTTCGATATTTTTCCTCTTCGATGTCTCTCCTTTCTATATTTTTTCTTCGATGTTTTTCCAGCGTACCATGAAACTCATCCGACACTATTTCGAGAGAATTCCTCATAGAAGCACATTGTGCTCTTCCGCTTGTTCTACTTCTCGTACAAGCCATCTGATATAATGTTCGTGCTTGAAATCTTCAAAATCTAGTATTTTTGAATCTTTAGAGATGTTTCTTTTATATTTCTTAGACTCATAGAATGGTACAAAAGCGAATTTAACACGAGAAAATTCGATCATAGAATCTCGAGAAAAAGGTATCTTCTACCTATCTGTCTGGAAACTCAATTAATTAACAACACAGATAGTACAGTAGATATAGGGAATACAAGAGATACATGAATTACTGGAGATATAAGAGATTTCCAATTTACTGTGTGAGCACAAGTGATATTGCATCGACACAGTACATCGTACCTAGTGTGAACGTCGCGGAAACATGATTACAGACTATCGAATATATCCAATTGTTGTGAAATTTCCTGCATCGTCTACATTTATTTTATTTTTGATATCTCTTAAATGAAGAATTTCTAGATCTTTTAAATTTCCTATGTGAACATGTATCGAGTATTTCTCGGTGTTGTCCTAGCTTTTGTTTTGATGACTCTCTCATTATGTATAATACAGTACAATGTTTTTCAAGATGCATATTTTTAGAGTACACATTTTTCTACCAAATGAGATGTCGGCAAATTTATTACAACGTATCATTCTATTTTTATTACAATTTTGTGAAAAGCCTTAAAACTGAGATCAAGTCCTGTATTCTCAGTATCGATCCTGCCAAAGTCTTCAGTAAAACTAATAACAATTGAATCATACGTTGTAAAAATTTTGCTCATATCTCATTTGGTAGGAAAATGTTTGTTATGCAATGTCAAGTCCTTCAGAAACTTTGCAAGTCTTTTGTTTTTATCATTAAGTATTTATTTTACGGAAAAGTTTCAAAATTTCACTTTCAGCCTCTGTGCATGCTTACGCTTATGCTCATACTAAATATAGTGTCCTGGAAAAACTCGCAAAAAAATAACTGTCTTGTTGGATAGTATTTGAGATAAGCTGAAATCTTAGGATCCGAAATCTGCTTCTTTGTATCACGATCTAGAAATATTGTTAAAATAACTAAAACAACTTTCAAATAGAGTTTTATTGGCTTCAGATTTATTTGAATCTATTTACTATCTTAAAATCAGTGAAGTATATGACAGATGAAAATATGCACCGCTGAAATCTTAGAATGAATATACTTCATGTCATGACTTTCTATTTTACTTTACGTCGCTTGGCTAACATTGTCAGAGTGGCCATCAGTTGACATCACTCTGACACTACTATTCTAACAAGTTTTGTTCATGCTCAGTTGGTAAGTCGATATTTTGGTAAAGTAGATGTGCGATATTCGATAACATATCAGTTTCGATGATATATTAAGCTTCAATTGCATGAAAAGTTAAGATTCTAGCTTTATTTCATCATGCTAATAAACATTCTTACTTTTGGAGTCTGTTCGATAAGGAAAATTGGGAAGTGCTTGCTTTTTTTCCCATGGAGTCGTTGAATCTACAATAATACAAAATATATACTATGAATCATGACTTTTCATGAACCCAAATTTACTATCAATGAACTATCATTTAGTTATTATTATTATTTTCTCAGTAAAACGAATAGTGCATCGGTAATTGAACTCGAATGTTTGTATCCCAGAGAATATTTAGAATTGCAAAAAAAAACTACACAGAATATGTTTTTACCGGTTTGAAAAGAAACTTTTTGTAACCAA